CACCACCATGCCCAGCTAATTTTTTGTATTTTTAGTAGAGACGGGGTTTCACCATGTTGACCAGGATGGTCTCGATCTCTTGACCTCGTGATCCGCCCGCCTCGGCCTCCCAAAGTGCTGGGATTACAGGCTTGAGCCACCGCGCCCGGCTTTTTTTTTTTTTCTTTGTGACTCCTTTTGTTTTTGCAGGGTCAGTTCACAGTATCAGCAGGGCAGTCAAAGCACACTTCTTTCTCTCTCTCTTTCTTTTTTTTTATTACTCTCTAATCCTTATTATTTTTGTTACGATCTCTAGAAAGGCAGCTAGTTAGGGAGTGAGGATCTATTTGAGTAAATCCCCGCATGTTTCTCAGTCACCACCCATCAACCTAATTGACACAGGCAGGGCTGTGCTGTCTGCAACACAGCTGGCGCCTCCAGCTGTGCCATCCATCACACTCAGGCACCCTGGAGTGCACATGCTCTGCTTCTGGTTGATTTTAAGTTCCCGATGCCTGAGCAGGCCTTGGGGAGGCAGTCCCGAGGAGTCAGAGTTGTTTGCTGTCGCATGTCAGACTCTGATCTGGGTGACTTGTGACATTCTGTCATTTGGTTGCCCTTTTCCCATGAAGGGTGTAGAGAATATGCACCCAGAAATGTCAGGCACTTTGCAGAGGTCTGTCTTGGCCATAAGAAAGCCAGATAAGAGTGCAGGTTCATTTATACATGTTTCTACTCATAGGAAAACAACTCACAAGGCAAAAAAGCACATCTCATGGATGGAACATGGTGAAGTGGTTACGAGAACAGACTTTGGAGCCAGACTGCCTGGGTTTGAATTGTGCAGTTTCAGGTAAGTTATTTAATTTCCTTGAGCCTCAGTTTCCTTGTAAACTGAGAGGGTAATAGCAGAGCCTACTTCATAGGGTTATGAGGATTATATGATTATTTAATTAAATGAGCGGTAAAGCACTTTGACATTAGTGTCTGAGAGATGAGAAGTATCACATAAGTGTTTATCAAATAGCACATAAAAATAAAGTGGTAGGTGGACATCATGGTACTTAACTGACTACCTCAGTTAAGATACGGTGAAATACACTCAGATGAAATCTTATGAAGTGTACTAGGGAAACTAGCCATTTTTTTTTTTTTTTGACGGAGTTTCACTCTTGTTACCCAGGCTGGAGTGCAATGGTGCGATCTCGGCTCACTGCAACCTCCGCCTCCCGGGTTCAGGCAATTCTCCTGCCTCA